GCTGTCTTTTGTGTTTTATTCTCCAGAGCCCGACTTTCAGCCGTGTCCATCCAGAGAAGGGACCTGTTTCTGGGGGAACCAGACTGACGGTGATGGGTCGACACTTGAATGCCGGCAGCTCTGTCACTGTCTACATAAACAAGGAGGAGTGTCTGTTTGTCAAGTTAGTTGGGATCTCTTGACTCTGACATGCACCCAGTAATATATCTGTTGGTAAATAATAACCAGATGCAATGATATATCTCTCTTCCTCCACCAGACGAACTGATCGGGAGATAGTTTGCATAACTCCCAGCTCCACGTCAGGCACGGGCGAAGCCCCCATCCGTCTGAAGATTGATAGGGCCGAGGTTACAAGCACAGATACCAAGTACACATACACGGATGACCCAACCATCACCAGCATTGAACCAAACTGGACCATCCTCAAGTAAATCCTCCACATTCTCCTCATCACTAATCAAATAATCAATCACGATAATGGATCTGTAACCTGTGCGTCTGTTATCTGCGCAGTGGCAGTACGCTGATAACGGTGACGGGAACCAACCTGCACACCATCCAGGAGCCCAAAGTCAGAGCCAAATATGGAGGAGTGGAAACTAACAATGTAAGAACAAAACTCTGACCTCGGTTATTCCCAAGTTCAGGATCGGGACCTGAAACTGTACCGCAGCACTTATTGGTTTTATGCTCTGAAATACAATAAAGGTTATTGGAGTTTTGAGGAGATGAAGTTTGTTTGTGAAATGTTTTAAAGCTCACAATATTCTGAAGTTTTAAACCAGTTTCTGCTGCGACCTTAGCCGTCAGCACTCTGCAGTCACCCTGCATTCTTCGTCCTAACCGGACTTCATGGTTTTCTCTCCAGTACTGCACTGTAGTCAATGACAGCACAATGACATGCTTGGCTCCTGGTCTGGTCTACACTAAACCCGACCCACCAGAGGGGGCGCTGCGGCCCGATGAGTTTGGCTTCATCTTCGACCAGGTATCGCTCACCCACAGCAAGCAGCAGCTTCTACTTTATGACACGCACAAAAGAAAAACCTGAATCTCACAGATCAGAGATAAAAACACACGCGGAGCATTTTTTCTCTAAATGACATGTTAACATTACATTAATATTTTCATCCTGTGCAGGTGTCCTCTTTGCTGGTGCTTAACTCCACCCCCTTTACACACTACCCGAACCCAACCTTTGACTCCTTGGGGAACTCTGGGATCCTCGAGGTTAAACCAGGGTCACCCATCATCCTCAAGGTCTGACTTCTCAAACTTGATGCAGTCCATATTCAAAGTTTATGTGTGACTGATCCAGCTAAACTTGTCTGTGTGTTTCAGGGTAAAAATTTGATCCCTCCTGCCCCCGGTAACAACCGCCTGAACTACACAGTCCTGATTGGAGAGTCGCCCTGCCTCCTAACCGTGTCAGAGAACCAGCTGCTTTGTGATTCACCGGATATCACCGGAGAAAAGAGAGTCGTGGTGAGTAATCTCCTCTTCATTCTTACCTTAACCTCAGTGATTCATAGAAAACAGCAAGGAATAATCAAGATAGGTTACAGGACACAGGAAAGGGAAGTTTGTTACATTTTGTTTTTAAAGTGAACAAAACTGTAAAATACAAAGAGGAAACACACAACTACAAAGCAAGAAAAGAGAGACAAGAGAACATAACATACAAAAATGAGACAAAACAGTTGCTGAAACCAGAAAAAACAGACAACAAAGATACAAAAAACATTATAAGGATGCTTCAGACTTATAATGACAGACACAGAGATTTAAAAAATGGCCAAAACAAAAAACCACAAAGAGCAAAAACAATCAAAGACACCAAAAAGGATTCAAAAATGACCATAGAGCCAATAAAAGGGACAAAAACAGGTAAAAATCTCTGCAAACATCAACTTTATATAACAGAAAATGAACCAACCATGAAGCAGGAAATCAATAGATCAACTTATTACAAATAAATATTTTGTGTTGGTGTATGTAAGTTTTTTTTATGCTGAATTTATTTCCTGACTGAGCTTCCGAAAAGCTTTCTGTCAGCTTTTTCCAGACCTTTTAAGAGTTCATGTCTAATGTGCTTATGTCACCACAGAAACGCCACCTATTTATTGTTTATGCCTTTTGTTTGCGAGGGGCAGCCAATGAGAAGAAAGTTGG